GATGCTTCCTAACTGGGACCACCGCAGTACCCCCAACTCAACCTCACTCACAGAGATGGAACCAGAAGCAGCACCCGCTGGAGTTGTGCAGCACGGCACAGTCCAGGTCCTCATGGACTTTCTATTTCACACCTATACTTTCAATATCTTCCACGTTACTGATGCTACAGAATATTTTCCGTATGAAAAGATCCTATCACGGATGATTTGGGGGAGGGGAGGGGATCGAGAGGAAACACATTTTCTTGTGTAATGTACAAAATGAACTTGCACTCTGGTGCTTTTCTTTTCCAGTCTCCATGTTCCTAAGGCCCAGCCTGAATATGGCTATGAAAAACAGCAGGCACGGGGTCAGCGCAGACAGCCCCCAATGTCGAATACAGATCTCTCAGCTTCTTTTTGGAAAAGAGCCTGGGGCTCTGGTCTCTCTGAAAGCTGCCTTCCAGGCTGCTGCTGCCGTTGCTTAAGGCTGCGCTGCAATCGAGCACTCAGGAGTGGGAAGTCCAGAGTTCTCCCTGCTTCTGGGAACAGACCCATCCCCCTCCCGGCACTAGCTTCCACAGCCAGCCCTCATGACAGTGGGTCAGGCTCACCCAAGGATTTCACAAACGCCTGGCCTGTTCCCAGCACAGCACAGCTGGGAGGCCTCAGTGCTGGGGGAAGAAGCACCATCCTCCACCCTGGCCCCGCTGTCCTTGGGCCCAGGGCCTCCAGGCCCTCCAGGCCCTCCAGGCCCTCCAGGGCTGGAGCCCAGGGAGAAGGGCTGCACTTGCCTGGGCTTGCCAGGCAGCACTGAGGGAGGGAGGCAGGCGTCAACTCCAGGCCTTCCCTCCCTGTAGATTTCCCAGCTCTGCTTAGTCAGGGTTCAGGAGGAAATTCCGTGACCAGGAAGAGAGGAGAATCCAGGCTTGCCAGGCCCCAGAGTCAGCAGCAGGTGGTCCTAGAGTCACCTGGAGAGGAGTCGATTATTCATATTCCAGGTCTCCCCTCAGGTGTCTGATTCAGAAGAGCTGGAGTTCAGGAATCAGTAATTTCCTCCTCACCCTGAGATCAGCTATGGGTGGATGTTGGTGCTTTCAGGGGGCTTGGGGACAGACAGGTGTAGACACTGGACAGAGAAAAGGGGCCAGTGGAAAGAGCCCTAGATTCTAAGTTAGCCCTATGATCCTGAAAGAATTGTCCTTGAATTTGGGCCTCAGTTTATCCATCTCTAAAGTGGATGTGTTCTGACCTGAGGATAGAAGGACCCACAGTTCTAGTTTGCCAGAATTTCAAGGCGAACCCTCGCACCTTGGGAAAAGCTAGTTACCCTACCTGAGGGTGGGGCAAAATCCGGCACGTGTCATGTACTACAAACGTGATTTGATGATGCTTCTTCCTGACACAATCGTATTTATTTTATTTACATATCTACTATTTTCTTGCCTGGTCCCTCCCACTCACCTCCTGCAGGAGGTCCTGGGAGCCAGGCCCAGCGGCACCTGGCCTGGTCGGGACCCTGAGTCCACCACAGTCCGGGACACACAGGAGCTGTCAACCCATATTTGCTGAATGGGTGGGAACAAGGACGGTGGGCCTCCAAGGACAGGATCCCTGGATGGAGTTGGGGGTGGGCTTGCTCCGCTGGCCTGGACAGGGGTCCCGGGTCCCCGGACAAGAAGAGCTGATCCTCTTGCCGCCGGGAGGAGAGTGCGGCCTTCAGAGCAGCTGCCCGGGGTCGGTGACCCCCGGGACCCACGGCGAGCTCCCTCCTGCCCCCGCCCAGGGAGGTGCGCCTGGCAGCCTCGCGGCCGAATTTCCTGGCACTCGGCTGAGAATAAACAGCGCTCAGCGCCTGTAATCCCGTTGCCCGGGCGACGGCGCTCCGCGGGCGGGGGCGTGGCGGGGGCGTGGCGTGGCGGGGGCGTGGCCTGCCGTGCGCACGCTCCGCGGGCCGCTGCACAGCTCGCGGTGCCACCCCCAGCGCTCCGCGCGGACATTCTTCGCATAGCTCCGCCAGGGCTCCCGCGGTGTCCGGGAAGTGACTCTTCCTGGCAGAGGGCTGCTCGGAGCGACGCGCCCGCCCGCCCGCCCGGCGGCCGCCTAAACGGAGGGGGTGGGGCGGGGCGCGGGAAGGGGGCTCCCCAGCCTGGGACTGTGCTCACCCGCCGTTTCCTGGGGACCCGGTCCCCCGGGCACGTCTTTCCCCACGCTGCCCGGTGCTCCAGGGGCCCGAGTCCCACACCTCCACAGGCTGGTGTCTGCCTGGACTCCCTGTTGACTGCTCCTCCTCTGCCTGGTACCCATGCGGTGCCCCCTCTCAAACATCTGTACTCATTCCTTAGGCCGGACACTTCGTGCGGGCTTATTTTCCATCGCTGGCTTTCCTGTCCGTGGCCTCTTCCCTCCTTCCCTCCCCCTAGGCAGGCCTTAGATTTCCCATTCTTGGCTCCAAGTCATCTGGGCAGGCCTTGCCCAAAAACAGCACCACCAGAGAGGATGGGGCCTCTTGGGGTGGATTATTAGCACAAGAGCAGGTTATGGGGCACAGGGCCGAGACCAGTCATCTCCCCCGCTTTCCTTTGGTGAGGGACACCAGCTGTGCCGTGGTGGAATACCTACTCGAGCCACAGGGGATTGCCCCACCCCATGCCCTGCAGGCACTCAGTGCATCTTGGAATCAGGAGTACTCCTCCTCTGGCAACCAGGACAAAGGAACCCCATAAGTCTTTTGGAAAAGGGGTGTCTTCCCTGAAAGGATTGAGAAGCACAGGAGTTGTGTAACAGGAATGGGACAAAGGAGGGAAGAAAGGAAGAAGCTGCTGACCCACAGATCCACCCAAGGGAGAGATGTGGCCACTAGCTTGCTGCGTGAACTTGAGCAGGTTGTTTCCCTTCTCTGGGCCTCAGTTTCCTTGACATAAAGGTAGGAGCCCAGAAGGTAGGAGCCATCTGTGATAGGAAATGGAGAGACAGAGAAGGCTGGGGTGGGCAGTGAGCTGTGGGTGGGGAAGTGAGTTGGGTGTCTTCTTGGCTCTGCACTTACCCAAGCCAAGGTTCACCCTCCAGGAGGTAGGAGAGGGAGTCGCTTCCCCCAGACAGAGAAGGCCAAGTTCTTTTGCTAGTGTCCTTGGAACACAGGCACCCTGGCCAAGGATAGGGGCAAGGTACACCCTGGTTTCCTCAGTTCCAAAGGGACTGTTTTGAGTAGAAGGACCACTCTCTGCAGCAGGAGACAGGTGATGGTCAGTCTGCTTTAGTGCAAGGAAGAGCTGCCAGAGGTGTTCCATAGTCTGTATTCCTGGGGGGGAGGGGAGGGTGGCTGCCCACTGGGTCCCCTCATCTGAACTCTGCTCTGGAAACATCTCTCTAACTGCAGCCTCAATTACTGAGCTGATGGTCTCTCTATTGTGGGGCCCACGTATGTATTCTGTCCACTCAGTGGTCTCATGCCTGGCCTGGCCCCTTCTCGTCACTTTAGGTCATTTTCTCCAAAAGTCCAGGAAATGGGAAACAAAAATGACTTTGTTTATTTACTCTCTCAGATGCCTTTTGGACACTGATTCCTGGAGCAGCTTATCGAGTTGGCTTGGTGGGGGGTTGGGGGGAATCTGTGCTGGGGGCCTTGGGACCAGGAAGAGGCCCTGGTATTTTGTTTCAGGCATCTGAAAGGTAAGGAGATGGAGCCCCAAATATAAGGATAACACTCATCACCGTCACCTAGCTGTCACCCAGCTGTCGGATCTGGGGAGTTAGAGAAGGAAGCAAGGGAAGAAAATATCACAGAGGTGTTCCCACCCCAGTACTGGGGACTGTAGAAGTGCTCTACCACTGAGCCACATCCCCAGTCCTTTTTATTTTTAGACAGGGTCTTGCTGAGTTGCCCAGGCTGGCCCTGAACTTGTGATCCTCCTGCCTCAGCGTCCTAAGTAGCTTGGATTATAGGTGCATTCAACCTTACTGGCTTCATTTTTTTTTTTCTTTTTTTAGCAGAACACTGGTGCTGAAGCCCTAGAATGTGCGTGTTTGTGTTGAGGGATGCTAACCTCTTGTATTTTTAGGGAGTACTTACTTGAGAGCAACCATGGGCATATGCTTAGTATATTGGGAGGCAGAGAGGTCAAGGGCTTTGAAAATCAAATGCTCCTGGGTTCCATTGCTGTTGTCCTCACATTCCCGGGTGCTGTGTCCTTGGGCAAGTTGGTTAACCTTCCTGAACCTGTCTCTGGCCCCACTCAGTTAACAAATATTTACTGAACACCTATCTAGGCACCAGAAGTGACCAGACAAGTCCTGCTCACACAGCACAGTTGTGTCTGAGAATACCCCCTGTGCTCTACGGGTGCTGGGGAGAGTCCACCCACGTAGCCTCCAAGTGCCTAGGGTGTGGGAGGTACTAAAGATGAGTGAGTAGAAGGCTGCTATTTCTGGGAGGTGCCTGGCTCTGTAGGGGCCCCTAGGAATGTGGGAGGTTGGAGGTATTGGGAACAGTGGCCAGGAAGCTCTTGAACACCTGGTTCTAGTCCCACCTGCATACAAGGGTCTCATGTGGATCACCCTCCCTACCTCCTGTGAACCTGGTGGTACAGAGGTAGGAGGTCAAGGGTCACTGCCAGGACCCCACATCTGGGCTTTCTTGGAACACCTCCCTGCCAAGAAGCCTGAGAGCCTCTAATAGCTTGGAGACTCTGCCGGCTCTGACCACAGCTCAGCTAGCTCCCTGCAGGCTCTTTGAAGAGCTTCCTTCGAACTTGCTTTGCATATTCTGGTCAGATCTGAATCAGACTAGCAGGAATTACCCCTCTCAGTAACAGTCTAAGTGCTGCCTTAGCTTGTCAGTGACACACAGGGGCAGGCACACTGACGTGAAGGCACATTTGATTTCACCACAAGGAGCACCTCGGCAGGGATGGGGCACAGCCAGCCCCCTCTGTGGTTCCCTCCCTCTCCTCTGAGTGTGGGTGTGGGTGAAAGAGAAAGCAAGGCATGGTAGGGGTGCTGGGAGAAAAACGCTCAAAGTATGTTTTTCATTAAAAAATAGTGCTCTTTTATTATAAATTACTGAAATGTTTCTTTTCTGAGTATAAATATAAATATGTGCAAAGTTTGACTTGGATTGGGATTTGGTTGAGTTCTTCAAGCATCTCCTAACAGCCTCGAAGGCCTGAGTGGGGAGGGGGCAAGGACTGGAGGTGGAATCTTTATAAAAGACAGAGTGATCGAGGCAGATTGTAAACATTATTAAAAAACAACAACAAAAAAAAGGAAAAAATGACCCCAAAGCACAACTGCCCCGCCCAGCCCAAATACCTGACACAGAAAACTTTTATGTTTAGTTTCCCCCCCAAAAAGAACAGTTCCAGGTTAATTCCGTCGCTGCTACATTCCTGTAAGTTGTCACTGATCAGTGCGCCAGCAGAGCCAGAGCAGCTGGAGTGGCAGGCGCCTGGATGACTTCCTGCCCACCCCACCCCAAGTGAGGAGGGAGGGCTGTGCAGGGCCTGGAGGACGGGACCTGGTGGCTCTGCTCTGACCACGAGGTGCCTATGACTGGCCAACACCAACTGGGCTTCTGGTCTTCCAGCGCTCAGCTGGAAGGCATGGGTCTCCCACCCTCCACCCACTGATCCTGACCAGTGGCTGGCTGGGTGCCCTCCAGCGAATCCCTGGGCCTCTCTGCCTGGATGGCCCAGTGTGTGGCCCAGCATTTAAGGCGAATCTCTTGGCCAGACAGGAGGCATAAAGTTGAATCCCCCATCTTCTCTAGGGGGGGATGGGGTCAATGATGGCTCATCTCTACCACCATCCCCTAGGTGCTGAAGTCACAGCATGGGCAGGAAAAGGAGACGACTGACCAGCCCATCCATCCTCTCCAAATGCCACTTCCTCCTTATAACAGGGAAGGGCCCTGGGCTCTGGGGCACAAGATGGCTCCCTTCAGGTCACCCCTTGCCTTTCTCCCCAGAGCCAGGGAGTGGAGCATGCAGCCACCCCCCTCACCTGGACTGGCCATTTTCATGGCCAGCCCGCAGCTCTGGGGCCCCTCAGGCTGCCCTCTCCCTTCCATCCTTTCCAAGGCCCTTCACCTCGCTCAGGTTTAAACCAAATCAGAGCGCCAACAAGTTCCGCTGGAAAGTTTGAAGATTCCGAGGCAGTTCTTATAAGTTCAACTCTCTGGAGGCATCCCCTGTTGGGAAGCAGCGGAGAGTAGTGCAGGAAGGGGAGAGAAGAGAATCCACTGGTCATTGCTATTGTCCCACCTGGCCAGCTGGCTCCTCCAAAAGCTGGACTGGGGAAGGGGAGCCCAGGTGGCACTCCCCACCCTCAAACATATTCCAAGTCCGCAGGCCCCATTCTGCAGCGGGGAGGGCCGCAGGGAGGGGCCTGTCCTCCTGACTCCAGAGCAACAGGACTCTCCTTCGGCTGGATTTTTGTGCTTGTGCCATGTGCCACAGAGAAGAGGGGACCCAAGCCCCTCTCCTGACCCCTGCCCTGTGCTCTTTATAGCGGGGCATCATACTGGTCCAGGAACTCCCGAATAGGCCCAGGCAGCTGGGTTACTTTCTCATAGGAGTCCAGGTGTCCATTGACCGTCTTCCGACAGAGATGCTGAAGGGTGGCCACGTTAGAGGAGAGAGGCCGGCTCAACACCAGAGGGATCTTCTCGCCCCCTGAGTAGATGTAATAGGCTCTCCTGGGAGGGCTCCCTGGGAGGGTCTGGGCAGGCTGAGTTGGCGGCTCCGGGCCCTCTGGGACCTCGGAGGAGGGCGAGGAGGAAGGTTCAGCGGGTGGAGAGGGGCAGGAGGGGGTACCCGGGGGCGGCATGTAGTGGTGCACCAGCTTGAGCACGCAGTCGAAACGGGGCACCGGCTGGGTGCTCCGGGGGTCGCTCTGCAGCGAGAAGCTGCCCCCCTCGCACTGGATGCGCAGGTTCTTGGTCCCGGACTGGGTCTTGACGCTGAGCGTGAAGAAGTGACGCTGGTCCGAGCTGTCGCGGATGAGGAAGGTGCCGGCGGGCTCGGCGCTGAGCAGCAGGTTCGCCTCGCCACCAGTCACGGCGCTCCAGTAGAAACCACTCTCCTGCAGCTTACGCACTGCGTTCACCACCAGCTGGTACTCGCTCTTGGAGCTGAAGGTCTTGAGGCGCAGGCTGGTGTCCAGGGGGCGGCTCATCCCGGCGGCGGGAAACTTGCTGTGGGTGACCATGGCGCACGGAGCCAGCGTGGATCTGCTTGGTGGCGGCTGCAGCTGCTTGGCGGCCTCCGCGCAGCGGCCGCTACCGCATCCCGGGGGGCTGCAGAAAGGAAGGCGAGCGCCTTGTGAGTGCCCGGAACCCTCCAGCGCGCCTGGCCAGCCCTGGCTCCCTGCCTCTACCGAGCGGCTGGGACACCCACTACCGAGGCCCTCGCTGCGACCCAGCACCCCCTGGAGCCCGCCCAGACTCTGCTCTAGGAGTGGGGGCGGCCCCAGGCAGCCCCCTCCACAGCAGCACACTAGGAGGACGCCGAGTGGAAAACTCTCGCGCGGAAGTTGAATCTCCAGGAGCGCGACCAGGGTGGGAAACGAGAGCAGAGCCCCCGGGACGTTCCGGGCGCCGCTCAGTCCGGTGGCCCCGGCCAGCAAGGACCCAGGGAGAAACCCAAGGAATGGGAGTAGGGAGGGGATAGAACCCCGAGGGCCCCAGCCTGAGTATTCCGGGAACCTGGGATCTCCGGCTTTCATTCGCTCTGCCCCCTACTTCGTCCCCTCCCTGCCGGGAATGACCCGAGAAGGGGAGGGGAAACCGGGAAAAGCTCCCGGGACTAAGAGAGGCCCCCACCTTCGCCACACTGCGCCCCTCCTGCCTACCTGGTCCTGAACCGAAGTCTCTGGCCTCGGGGCTGCGCCTTCTACGGTCCCCAAGGCACAGCGGCGGCGCGGCGGCCAGCGGTGGCCCGCGCTGCGCCCAGATGTTGGCTGTCGTGAAGTCCACAAAAGGGCCCTCGCGCGTGCGTCCCTCGGACTTCGCCGTCCCCGGGTTCGACCTAGCAGGGACGAGGCGAGGGGCCCCGGCAAGAGCTGGGCCGGGCGGGCGGCGTGCAGGGCCGGAGAGGCAGCGGCGGCGCGGGGAGTCGGAGTCGGAGCCGCCGCGGAGGCCGCGCTCGCGGGTATATACGCGGCGGCCGCGCCCCGCCCCCTTGGATTCCAGGAACTGCGCGACCGGTCTTCTTGTAATGTTTAGTCACTACTCGCAGCAATGAAAGGCTGCGCGCGGAGGGCGAGGGAGGGGCCGCGGGCGGCCGAGGGCGGGCCTCGAGCAGGGGCAAGGACCGGCGGAGACGCACCGAGACAAAGCGCGGCGCGAGGCGGCCAGGGCGGCCGGCGGGCGCGGCGCCAGCCCCGGCGGCGCGTTCCTGGCAGCGGCCCCTCCCCCGCGCGCGCTCCGCCCCCAACTTCTCATTCACACTTTCCCCCCCACCCCCTCCCTTCTAAGAAGGCCAGTTTCTGGCAGAGGCGGGGGCGCCGCTCCTGGAGCGCGGGCAGTTCTAGGAGGCCGACCCGAAGAGGCTCCTAGCACCCCTTCCCTTTTTCTTGGACCCTGCGGGGACACCCCCTCGCCCCCACCGAACCGAGCCGGATTACAGTCCCAGGCTGCCCGAGCCAGCCCAAAGGGAAGTGGGGCCATCCCGCAGCCAGGCCGCGGGCTGGCGTCCGACTTGGAAGTTGGTGGTGGGGAACATGCGACAGTCACCTGTGGGCAGGTCCCAAGACTAGAACGGGAGTCCCAGGGGTGGAGGCGAGCAACCTGTGAAACAGCTGCTCGGCCACGGCCCATCGGCCCACTGCCAGGTTCTTTGTTGACACTGATATGGGTGCTGGCCTCCCCGCTCCCCCACAAACAAACAAACAAAACATAAAACAACTGCTTTCCAACAGCATCTGGGTCTCTCCATCTGTGTGTATGGCGAGGGTCCGGCCAGGTGCTGGGGGAGCAGAAAGGGGAACGATGGTCCCAACCCGCGCCCGCGTCCGCCAGAGGGCGCCCTGGAGTCTCTTTGGGGGAGAGGAGTTTGTACACATCCCAAACCTTGGGGACAGCGGGACCAGATCGCCCAGGAGCTGGAGTGCGGGACAGAGGAGAGGGGAATTCACACAGAGACTGCAGTCAGACCTGGGAATAAAAGTCCAGCAGGAGAGAATTTCCAGAAAGCTGTTGTCCTGGGCTCAGCCCACTGCCAGTTGGCCAGCTCGCCTAGCCTGTGAACTCCCTTGCCTGCGGCGGGGGCGGTATCTGAACTCTCCCTGGAGAGTGAGAAGAGCTGCCGATTGAGATGAAAGGTTAATTTGCTCTTGGTCACATTGAAGTGCCAACCTTATGAAGGATGGAAAGTTTTGCAACCTGTCCCCAAACAGGCTGCAGGGTTCTGGAGCCACTGAGAGCCAGCTAAGTGGCATATACATCAGCACCCCTCAGGGCACAGAGGCAGTGAGCTTTGGGCCCTACCCTCTTCTCAGATCTCATAGGCTGAGGATAATGAGCTGGTGAAAGGGAGGGCAGAGGTGCCCAGGGCACAGGCACAGTAGCTTGGGGGCGTGGAAGGGAGAGCTGGCACCTTGGCCTCACTGTCTTGGCCACTGTGTCTTCCATCTGAACTCTGACCTCCCTCCCCAGATGTTGGAGGACTGAGTGGCATTTGAGGAGAACACAGCCTCTCTGGGCTTCAGTTTTGCCGTCTGTAAATAGGAATAAAGACGACCTCCTATCAGAGATCTGAGATGTAAAGAGGTTAAAACAGATTATGTGTGTCAAAGTGTGTCCGGTTCTCCCTTCCGTCTCTTAGGAGAGCAGTAGCTGGAGAAATCCTGTTTCCTCTGCAAAGGGGAAACAGTGCATTCCACATGCTTCACAGACACCAGGCTCCAAGGGGTAGGTGTGTGCAGGCACTGAGCATGCACGAGACAACCACCCACCCCCCCTTCAGATACCTCCAGGCTTCCCAAATGTATTTGTCCTCTCTGTACAATCAGTTTCCTTTTCGTACAGGGGATTGAACCCAGGGCTTTGCCAATGCTAGGTTAATTGCTCTCCATGCAAGCTCCATTCCCGGCCTTTTTTATTTTTATTTCAAGAAAGTTGCCCAGCCTGTCTTTGAACTTATAGTCCTCTTGCCTTGGCCTCCTAAGTCACTGGACAATCCATTCATTCTTGTTCTCATTACGTGACTGCTATGACCACGCTCCTGCGCTGAGCACTGTGGAGGACAAGGAGGACTCACAAAGAAGAGCAGTTAATGGATGGGAAAGTGCTTTGTAAATCATAATGCTCCGACACAGGTCAAGTTCATTCATCCCTTCCACAAGCCTCCTTGAGTGCCTTCCTTTGCCAGGCACTGGGTGAAGTGCTGGGAAGACAGTCTGCTGGGTGAATCCTGCAGGGAGTGGAGGCCACAGGCAGGACCCCTCCTCTCCAGGCTCAGTGCTTTGAGAAAAGGATGGCCACATTTGCCCTTCTGTGAGACTGATGGTACTTGGGGTAGAGTGGGGGCATTGGAAAAGGGAAATAAAGAGGAAGAAACTTCCCTGAGGTTCCAGGAATACCTAGTGGGAGAGACCTACCTCTCTGAGGCAGGTAAGTCCTAATGCAGCTGTGTGGTACTCAAGGGAGCCTGGGCTCTGCAGCAGGTGCGGGCAGCATGGACTGCGTGGCCAGTCAGGAGCTCAGAGTGGGCCCAAGAGAGCAGGGATGATTTGAAGAGGAGAGGTAGGGCAGGGCCAGCAGGCTCCCTGAGGGACTGTGGCTGGAGAAGGTCAGGACAGGAGTTGGGAAGCGGGGCTGGGCTCCCTGCATGCTGTCTCAGGAAACTGAACTGTGATCCAGGCTCCACTACCCAGTAGCTGTGTGACTTTAAGCAATTTAGTCCACCAGCTGGGCCTCAGTTTCATTATTTGTGAAATGGGCTGATGAGAGCAACTACCTCATCGCATTGTTGTGAGGACTGATTGAACTAATACGTACAAAGTGCTGAGGACGGTACCTTGCACCTAGGAAGCACTTCATTCATATTAATTATCACTTTTTGTTTGTTTTTAGTTCTGGGGATCAAACCCAGGGCCCCAAGCTTGCTAAGCATGAGCTCTACCACGGGCTGTACCCCAGTCCAACTATCACTGTTTCAAAAGCACTGGGAAGCCAGGTGTCCTGGTGCACACCTGTAATCCTAGCAACTTGGGAGATTAGGGCAGGAGTATGGCAAGCTTAAGGCCGGCCTCAGCAATTTAGATCCTGTCTCAAAATAAAAATGTATTTAAAAATGGGGAGTCTGGGATGTAGCTCAGTGGTAAAGCAACCCTGGGTTCAATCCCCAGCATGAATGGGGAGCACTGAGGCCTCTTGGACAGAGGAGGAAGGCGGGGGCTCCTGGGGTATGGATGTGGTTACGAGCTGCTGTGTGCTCTGGGAACTAAACAATTCCCATAAGAAGCAATCAAAAAACTTGTCATCTGAGGTCAGCCTAGTGCCACGCTTTCCTTTGGCTCTCTGATTTCTCCATAGCTTCAGGATGAACTCAAACTCCTCGGTGGAGTGTGTACCCCAGGCTGTCTCCTCCACGCCAGACTGTCTCTGTGAGGGACTGTGTCCCCCAGGCCTGGATCATCGCACCTTTGCTCTCATTGGAGTGGAGGAACCCCATGCACTGGCTGATTGCTACATTCCTTGAAGATGGGGCAGACCCTCAGTTGAATCTTCCAGGGTGGCTCTTTCCACGTGGCTCAAAATGTTTTGTCTACTTGTCCAGTGAGAATCTTGAGGAAGCCGGAAGCCGACTACATTTGATTTATTTCTTTGGAGCCTGCTATGTAGAAAGCGCTCAAGGAACCTTTAAGCCAGGGATTGATACAGTCTATTTTCATTGTTTTTAGGTGCCCAACCAACCTGCCTTCTTCTAGGGTAGCTCTTGGTTGCTGCTGCGGGACTCAGGCGTGGCTCCCAGAAGGGCTAGAGGGTGTGGGTTCTGGGAAGCACCCAGGGTAGTCCTTGGAGATCCTTAGGCCTGCTAATCTGAAGACAAACATGTTGGAAAAGTGGGAGGAGACACTTGGGCCAGTGCACAGCACATTTCCAGGAAGTCACTTCCAGGCAAGGACCCGAGCAGAGAGCGACCCAGGAACATGCTTCTGTCCCTTTATCTGCCGGGTGGCTCAAGGGGAGAGAGCACTACCCGGGTCCAGCCCCTGGGCTCCACCCTGATGTTTTCCCGTCTAAGGGATTTAGGAGACTCTGGTCTTTTCCTAATCTCTCCATTTGCAGAACTTCTGTGAGGTCAGAATCCCATTTCCAGGCAAAGGTGCTTGCTCATAAAGATAATCATTCACGGTGGAGGGGAAGTACACTGTGGTTTCAGCAGCCTGTGGGGGCTCTACTCCCTCCTGGTATGTGACAAATGCTAAGCACTTCCCCAAACCTCACAGATGGGAAGGAACCCTGGCGCCCATGGGGGCTTGCAGGAAGCAATGGCACAGCCTGTGACACACGGGTGCCACATGTGCTTCCCAGGGGTGACTGTCTTGTCTGTGGCCTCATCTGTCACCGGGGTAGGGAGGGGGGGTAGGCCTCAGACCACCACATTGCTGAGTGCCAAGCCCAAGGGCTACTTGTCTCCAAGGCTGTTGGGCTTTGTATGGCACCAGGGGGTGGCCCTGTGGCCTGACATCGGTACAGTGCTTCAACTGTATGCCAGTCGGCTACGCCCGGGGATGCCCTGGAAGGGGGAGCAAAATCCGGCCTCCTCCCCTCTGGAGTTCTAGTCTGCAGTTGGCGGGGACACTCCTGTCTCGCCTCGGTTCTGACTGGCGGGGTCCTGCCTTCCTCTGCTCCACGGAGGCTCCCCGGCTCAGGCTTTCACCTGGCCCTCTCCTCACCTGCCGCAGGGCTATGGCCAGGATGACTGTGGTGGCCAAGATGACCTTTCCCTCGCAGGCCGAGAGGATCGTGGGTCACAGACCAGGTTGACCCTGATCTCTCCCTTTCCTGCTTCAAACAATCCCCAGGGGCGGGCTGTGGGAGGCTGGGACAATGGCCCGCCGCCGGGAAACGGTCTTCCAGTTCGCAAGCTTTTGTTCCCGCCGGGAGGGGCCTGGAGTAATGAAAAGGTTTGCGGCTC